CCATAAAATTATTTCATTGCTACTTCAAAACTGTAAGTCTGCTACTGTTATGAAATGTAATGTAAATCTCTGATATGCAGGTTAGCTAATATCTGATCACCCCCAAAGGGGCTGTGACCCACAGGTTGAGAACCGCTGTGCTAGGTCTGGCTCTGATGCCACTAGAGGGTGCTGTTCCTTTCCCTAGCAGAGTCAAAGTATCTAATACCCAGTGCCTAGCATGCTGGCCACACTAGAGATATAAGAAATGAAAAGTACCTAGGTCGTATGGTCTTAGAAAACGACCTTTGATCCTGGGCTCAAATTCCAGTCCTCCCAGGTACAAGTTGAATTGGTTGGAGGATACTGCACCCTTCAAAGCTCAGTTTTCTCTCCCGTGAAAGCAGCTGATCATACCTGACTAGGCAGTCAGGACTTTAGGAATAGGGCAAGTACTCTTGCCCGGCACAGGGATGTGCTAATTTCACTGCCTGCTGAGCTCCGTTGCTAGCATTCTCTAACCCATAGGTGCTCAGGCTTGTGAAGCTGGGCAGGGGTTCTCAGATGTGTCCATGTGGAAGCCCTCCTCCGAAAGCCTTCCAGGCAGCCCAGACCCTTTATAACTACTAGGTGAGGTAGTAGTGACAACATCCGAGTTGCTGCCTCTGCACAGGGACCGGGTGTTCACAGATCTCTGCTGAAGTTGAGTGGGTTCCACACAGGCAACAATTTCAGCTGTTACCCTTCTAGAAGCCACCATTATAATCAGCCCTGGAAAATTCCTCTCTCCTCTGTCAGAGGTGCCTTCACGTGTGCACCAATGCAAGGCCTGGATGACAGGGAGGAGAACTGTGCCGGGAAGACAGACCGAGGAGGCAGGCGGGGCTGGAAGTCGTGGGAACGCATTATGCAGCAGGGCCATGGAGGGTGGCCTGAAAGAGAAGCAGCTTATTGGCAGCCTGTCCACTGGGAGGAGCGGGGTCCTGAGAGAGGAGGCAACTGGCATAAATAAATCCACAGCCCTTGAGCAGACACCTGAACAGGTAGCAGGGTCAGTGTCCTAAATTGCCCCGCGCTCGGCCTCGCCTGCAAGAACCATGCGGTACACATAGGATCCTTCTGTAGAAATGCTTTATGTCTCTTGGGAGCTAGAGCATAAGCCACATGGCGGAGACCCAGATAAGATGGAACCCATCCCTTATAAAGGAAACAGACCCTGCTTCGGACGTGTCACTCTTGGATTGGTCAATTGTCCATAATTCCAGGTGAATGCCTCGGGAGTAGGCGGGGACTTAGTGGGAAATTACTGAGCACATGTGCGTTTACCTGGCGGTGAAGCCGGATGTCAGCGCCATCTTGATAATGGATAATGTGGCTGTGGCCTTCTACATCTCCCCCTAATTTTACTTCTTTGCAGAAAGGCAACTCCCTAGGAAGGTAAAGATAGAGGTCGCATTTCCCAAAATGAAAACATAAAAATGGGCTTACATGGAATCTGTTCCTAGGCTCATGACATCTGGAACCTATCCGGCCTGCCCTCTGTCAATTTTTTGGGAAAGGGAACATATGGCAGGAAACCCTTATGCAGAGCGACTTATCTCTCAGAGAGGGTCATTCTCTGTGTGATGTTCTTCAGCTCCATAACCTTTAGGGCTAGCTAAGCCAAGCATTTCACCCTGTGCCATGGACCATAGTCCTAGGGGTGCAGGAGCTGGTTGGCTTAAACCTTATTGCTTTAACATAGATAACCACATATCAAAAGAGGCTCCCTGTTCCAGGGCAGCCAGCGCTGTGCAAAAACCATTATGTCCCTAAGACTTTGGGATTTGAGTCAGCAGACCATCCAGAGGAGAAACATTATTTCATAGCATAGGACCGTTCCAAAACATTTCCACCCCCACCCATTCTTTGAAGTAGGGGATGAAGGATATAATCCAGGACTGGAATTCTTTGGCCAAGCTTATGTCCATTCGTGTGGAGTTGATTGTCATGATGGACCATCTCAAGGAGGACAGCAAATCATCAAAATTTTCCTGCAAGATACAAAGACAATTTTCGGGACAAGTTAGCCATTTTTATAAAGTTTTCATATGGTACATTGGTCACATATAAGGCTGGAGTTTTTCATTCATAGCCCAATTGGGCAAGCTGTCATAAGATATCCATCTGTTCTTTATTTTACCTCTAATAGATGTATCTATGGTAGCCTGTTGATCCAGGGCTGTAGCCATTGTGGTAGATAACTGATTGAGGGTCTTTGTTTTTTATGATATAGGCCGTGTTGCCCCAGTGGCGCCTAGGAAAAACCCAGGCCCTATTTGTTGATATTAGGTTTAAGATTTATTGGCTCCCGTATTCCTTGCCGGTACGGTGGCCTTGGGTTCCAGAGCCCGCCCCTCCATTCTCCGGGGCCAGGAAGTGGTGGCTCCACCCCGACGCGTCCCTGCCTTCCACGCAGGGCTAGCCTAGTTTTCTGAGGCTGTGTTGGTGGGGGAGTGTGGCGGGAGCCGACACCGAGGCGGCACAGGCCGTAATATCTCAAGGTCCGGTCTGCGCCAGAGCCAGAGCCGCTGTGGCTCAAGGGGCCGATGGGAGAGGCGGCGAATAGGGCCGCTTCCTTACTAGCAAATTCTCAACATCTGTGCCATAGCAAAAGCGGCTGTAAACTCTCATAGATCCAGCCAACGACCCAATTACCCCAAAATCCAAGGGCCCTTTGCATCCATCTCCCTGCGGATCCTGAAACACCAGACAAGCCAAGCGTATATATAGTAATCTTTTAGGAGGACTTGAGTTCTTAAAATCTTAAGTCGCATTATGTAGATGTAATACGGTATTGCCTGTTTACTGTGTCTAAACCTTAATTGTGCTTTTATTATGATAAATACGACCAGCCCTGCCTGAAGTCAGCATCATTTAGCATAGCCAAATGGAATCAAAGCCATTTTACCCTCAGAGACCAGCATAGTTTTAGGTACATTGTAAGCCTTCTGGCCCGGCTGCCTGTGGCACCGCTGTGACATCTTCCAGGCCAGGCACCAACCGAGCCGCACCAATTGAGCCGGCGCAACGTGCTCCCCACCATAGCCATAGAGCAAAGCTCCGTTCCAGCCGCCCTCCAGCCCCAGCTGCACCCATTCTGTGCCCAAACCGGTGTACGGAGCAAAGCGGAATTCAGAGAAGCAGGCTTGTTGCTCTGCAAGGACCTCATTTTATTGGGCCGCTGCATTTTAGGGGTAAACATTATAACATTTCAGGAGGTCTCGGTGATTCAAACCACGTGGATCTCAAGCACATACTTAGGCTCCCATCCTCCGTGGAGGCGAAAACAGAACCTCTTTCCCACAACATCATATCCTTAGCAGTTTCTAAATTTAAATATCTTTCTCCTATCCAGTACATAAAAGACAACACACATAACATAACATAAAGCTTTTGACCTTGTAAATCAGCCTTCTCCCCCATTTTTACTTTTTTAAAATCATTGGGGGGTCCTTTTTAACTTATTTTTTTTTGTTTTTTTTATTTTTTACCGGAGGGTCATTTTTTAATTTATCTGGGTGCACGCATAACCTCCCATTGCTGCTTACTTTTTGATATGCTCTCTGGACTTTAGAGCGTACCTCTTTGAGCATGCATGTCTGCAGTTTTGAATCCTCCTTGTGTCCAAGGGGTCTTCGGCGGTGTAAAGGTTTTTTTTTTCTTCCCGGGTTTCGGCACCAGATGCCCCGCGCTCGGCCTCGCCTGCAAGAACCATGCGGTACACATAGGATCCTTCTGTAGAAATGCTTTATGTCTCTTGGGAGCTAGAGCATAAGCCACATGGCGGAGACCCAGATAAGATGGAACCCATCCCTTATAAAGGAAACAGACCCTGCTTCGGACGTGTCACTCTTGGATTGGTCAATTGTCCATAATTCCAGATGAATGCCTCGGGAGTAGGCGGGGACTTAATGGGAAATTACCGAGCACATGTGCGTTTACCTGGCGATGAAGCCGGATGTCAACGCCATCTTGATAATGGAGAATATGGCTATGGCCTTCTACACTAAATCTGGTTGCTTCTTCTGCAGAATGACTTCAGGCAAGTTGCTCAGCTGGGGTCCTACTGCTTCACTCGGGAGGCAGGAGATGTGCATTTCTCAGAGCTGCGGTGGTGATTAAATCAGGTGATTGTTATACAGTTATCAGTGCCATCAGTGACAACTGAATGGCCACTGGGAGCCCCAGAAGAGTTTGCAGGGAGGTGTGCATACCTAGTATTTAGGAGGCTGCCCTAGAATTGGCTATGTTATCCCCAGGAGGTACTCTAAGTGCAAATGTGACTTTACCATGTGGCCTCTTGGGGGAGGAGGAGGGGCTGCATTAGTGTGTTAGAACAGCTACCTGGCTCCTTACCTAATCCTCTGCCACGACCTTGAAGGGCTGTCTGGGACTGTCCTGATTGCTTTTCTGGAAGTCCACCTCTTTCCTTCTAACCACACTACCCTAATGCTCCCAGCTCTGCCTTAATCTTTGCTGTGCCCTCCGCTTGGACCACCCGTCTAAAGAGGACGCAGGTCCACTTGCTCTCTGGAATATCTCATTTCTGTGCGGACCCATCCCTTGTCTGCTTCTCCAAAGCCTCAGAGCTCTGGAATGATGTCAACTCTGGAAGACACCTTGGACCAGATTGTCTCACTCAGCTATGTGTGTCCAGCGGGACCAAAAAAGTTCACAGCTGGGATTAAAGACGTGAACCACCACACCCCACTGTAGGAAGGCACAATTTCTTAAACCCCATTCCATGGGTTGAGAAAACTGCGGTTGAGGGAGAGGGAGAGAGAGGGAGAGAGCGAAACGCGAAACGCGAGCGCAAGTGGTGTAGTTCGTCCTCAGGCTGCAGGGTGATGCGTGGGGCCGACCAGTGTGCAGCCTGCACCTAGTTGTTTGGGGGCTGGCGGTGGGTGCGGCTCCCGAAGCGGGCGGTGCTAGAGTTTTGTGGGCAGGCGCGGACCGGGACTCAGGCTGTGGACCCAGGCTAAGGAACACAGCTCTACTGCGGGAGGAGCAGGTGAGGCCAGTGCCGAACCATTATTTCGCGCAGCGGGTTTGGGATGCTGCCGGAGAGGGGGCCGAAGAGCTCAAGGCATTCTCCAGGAAGTTGAACGCGCTGCTGATGCTTGGCCCGGCACCTGGAGCAGGGTTGCTGGTGGGTTTCCTAGCCGGGGCTTGGCGCCTCATCTCCGAGTCATGGAGCTCCCATTTCTGATCTTCTCACCTGGGACTCGGTAACCTGATACTTCACCAGAGTGCATCCGAGAAAGTAAGTTGCACATTTGAAGTGTTAAAGTGTCTGCAGGCAGGCATTCAGAGCTGGTGGCTGGTTGTGGAGATCGTCCTCTGGGGGTTATAGAAAGTGTGTTTTTTGATTTTCCTTAGATGGGCTAGGAAAGGGTGTAGCCGATCTTTGGGCTGGGGGCGGCAGTGGGGGTGGGGCTGGTGCAGCGCACTCACTTCCATGCTTCAAAATGAAATCCAGGCAGGGTTTTGCTGACCTTGCATAAAGTGCTCCCCTTCCACCTGGGGTCATCACCCTTGCTAGTTCCTCGGGGACTTAACGGCAGCAGCCCTGGGAAGTGAATGTGGTCACCAGGAGGAGAGTCAAGTCCACACCTGTTTGAAAAAGGCCTAGGGTTGAAGAGGCAGGCTATTCATTGTTGGTACCGCCATGGAGTGGGCTTTTTGAGCTCTCTTGTGGGATTACAGGCCAGATAACTGTCTAACAGATGACAGGGCTTCCAGGACACCCTCTCAGGTGTCTGAAGCACATCCCAGCATTCCTACAGGCTCCCTGGGACCTGCTCCACAGAAGATCAGGTCGGGTTTTGTCAGTGGGTTAGGGATATTGTCTTCAGCATCCACTGACACAAGGTCGCTTCTTGTTCAAATTCTGTGTTTAGCAAGATGGGTGTCAGGGAAATCAAAGCCAGGTTGGCCAGGGACCTAGTTCTGCTTCTTACGAACTGCAACCTTGGCCAGGGCCCTTCATCTCAGTAGGCTTCCTCTTTAAAATGGAACCAATGGGGCTGGACAGATGGCTCAGTGGTTACGAGCACTGGTTGCTCTTCCCAAGGACCTGGGTTTGATTCCCGGCACCCATGTGGCAGCTCACAACCATCTAGTTCCAGGAGATCTCATTTACGCTCTTTCTGGTTTCTGTCAGCACCAGACATGCATGTGGGATGCAGATACACATGCAGACAAAACACTCATACTCGTAAAATAGCAATTAAAGTTTAAATGGAGCTAGCATTAGATAGGACCACATGAATTTGCCGTCTTTACAGCTCAACTACTGAACATGCCATAAGGATCAGCCTAGTAATGCCTTTCTGGTTGGACTATGGTTATGGCTTACAGTTCAGGGGGATGAAAGTGAAAACCGATGTCTTTTCTGCATTATGTCTCCTAGGAAACACGAATTCTTCTTACCCCACTTCTTGAAGAAGGGGTACCTGTAACCTGCCTTCCAAAACCCCTTCAAAATGCCCCGCTCTGTTTCTCCTACTTCACTTGGCTCAGCTCTTTTCCAAGTCAGGTCTCCTTCAGGTTGTCCATGGCTCAGAGAGAGATTTTTGTGTGTTGGTTGCCACTGCCTTATTCTCCGTGTCTATCTGGAGCTCCATCTTTAGGCCAAATGGTGGAAGAAGCATGTGAGGCTTGTTTTCAGTCATCACAGCTGTTATTGGCTGTGGATGGGGTTGGTCCTCAGCTCTGTGGTAGGAAGAACAGGAGTGTGACCCCTGGGGTCAGAGGGGTCCTGCCTTACAGATAGGACAGGGCATGATGGTACCACAAGTGAGAGCTGTTTAAGGCCAGTGCTGGTAAAGGACCAAGGTGGGTAACGGGTCCAGGCACAAGCCTTTGCTGAGATTGGGATTGGTATTTCTGGATTGGTATCGGAAAACTGCAGTCAGGGGGACTCAGATGCCTGGTCATGAGCTTGTGTTGTCATTTGTCCTGCTGGGAAATGAAGTCACTTAGGATGGAGTTGGTGGAATGAGAAAGGAATTAATATTTGATTGACAACTATGATGATCCAGTTTGGCCTTGAGTGCCTCTACCTCCAAGGAGGTGGCAAAGAAAGTTCCTGAAGAGAACCTTTTCCATTCATCAGTTCCATTGTTTGCCTGAAGAAGACAGAGACTGACTTGTTCAGGGGCTAGGAGCAACAAGTCCCGCCTTTCCACTACCCCGGCCTCTTTGCCACCCTCTGCCCTAAGACTGAGTCAGACTGCCCTGTAACACAGGTGCCATCCTCTTTTCCTCCTTTATATCACTGAGAAAACCAGGGTTTAGAAAATTTCAGTGACTGACAAAGCCACTCTACGGATAGGTGGCGGAGTTGTTGTTATTTAAGCCCAGGACAAATGTATAGCCTGCTGGCCTGTGTAGGATCCTGGCACGACCCTTTGCTCACCTTTTACACACATGTGATGGTTCCATTTGTGTGGGAGAGAATCCTGCCTTTGACCTCAGAAGCTCTCTGACAACCTGGGGTCTAGGCTGTGTCGTGGTGTCCCGGATCATAGGCAGCTACCCCTGTGAATTAGAAACCAATGGCTTCTCTGAGAATAAGAACATGGGCCAGGGAAAACTCTGAATGTTGCCTTTAAATGCCCCCTTTCTTCTGTCTTGGCTCTCTCAGAGCCTCAACCTACCCCCTACATCAAAGTGACTTTTCTGGAATGCACATGGCTTGGTGGCAGCCTTTCAGTGGCTCCCCTGTCTTTCCTGGTCTGGCTTATCTCTCCAGCCTCGTCCTCTCTTCTTCCTTCTATCTCCTAGGATTCAGCTGTCCTGAACTACTTGCCTGTCTCAGGAGGCTGCCTTCCTTCCTACCTCTGAGCCTCTGTGTGCTATTTCCTGTTCCTTGAACTCTCCCCTCTCCTTTGTCCATTTTCAGCCTGTGAATCTAGGTTCCACACCATCTCTTTTCTTTTCCTGCCCTTAGCTGCCTCTCTGACCTTCTAGGTCACAGGTACACATACTACCGACTGTGGCAATAGCACCATAGCCTTGAGGTCCATCTGCATTCCCAGTGATCAGTTTCTCTGGCCTGGGAGAGACATGGTTGTGTAAGTCATTTCCATGGCCCCTGTCCTTACCCTAGGGCTTGGCCCTTGTTGGTCGAGCAGATGATCAAAGCAATAATCCTCATCTGGTGCTTTCCCTGTCCGCTAACTTCCCTCTGGTGGTGCTGGTGCTGCCCTACACTGATGTCCTCGCCCTGGCTGATGGTCAGACGGGTTCTTGAGCTTCTGTTCCTTTTGCTGCCTTGGGGCCAGAACATGTGCCACAGATTCGTGCAGCTGTGACTTCCTTTTCCTCTCAAATCCTAGTCCTTGTGTTTGCCCTGTTAGATTTCATCCTGTTATATTTGGCCAAATGCTTTTTGTTCAGAAGACTGTGGTGCCAGCCAACCTCAGAGGGCTGGCAGTCTAGATAGTCAGAGTAAACGGTCATTCAGATTTCTTGATTTTGTAGATGGCCAGGTGAGACTGACTTCTACAGGTCAGGTCAAGTCAACAGTGTGTGACATTTGTGTCAGCAGGAAAACCAATTTTTACTCATTTCTGGTTAATTTGGCCTTTCTGTCAAAACTGCATTTGATCATGAAGATAAGTGTATATTGAAAACAGATGTATACTTAAAAACAGGCATGACTAATCTATGGCATCAAAAATTCAATCAAACAGACTACTGTGCTACAAAGAGCATTTCTCAATCATGTGCAGCCAGATTTTACATGCTGCTTGTTAAATACAGATTCCTTAGACCCATCCCACATCCCCTTAACTGGTTCTCCTGGAGAGAGGCTTTGGAATCTTTACTCTGAACACATCCCTGCGATGACTCTGATGTCCAGTAAAGGTTGAGAACGGCAGACTTGTAGGATTAATGATGCCTGGAAAATCCAAGTGATGGTTTCCAGGGAGGTGTGCAACAACCGGGTAGGCGACCCTCCATGCCAGACTGCCTGTCACTAGCATTAGTGCTTGAAGGATTTGGAGTCCAGGATCGGAAGAGTTGGTTTTGTTTGAGAATCCCTTTGTTCAGGAAGCCCGAGTGGAATGGTACCCAGATGCTAGCGGGTAGAGATATGTCAGGTGGCTGTGCTGTAGGGAGGGTGATGAGCATCGTGTGTGTGTTGGTGGCCAGCAAGGCAGCACAGAGAAGGCAGTGTACTGACTCATCAATCTGTAGCCATGGCGGTCTTCATCTTCACCGTGCGCCACCTCAGGAACAAGGATGACAGGGTGTTGGAGTCTGAAACCAAGCCCCAAAGTTCAAGTTCTGACAAGGTCACTGAATGAACGTGAATCTATTGCTGTCTTTGTTGGGATGACACAACTAAGGGTTTTCTATGCTCCAAGTTTTTTTTTTATCATCAAAATAGCCTCAAATCCTGAGGCCAGAAGGAGTTTGTCAGGCAAGTTATGGCATCAGACAGTCAGATACCTTATTGGCTGTGAGAGTATAGGCAAATGACTTCCTGTATGGCTATGAGGTTTTCCACCAATGAACTAGGTTGATAATACTTGTCAGAATAAAGTAACTAATATGCAAAGCACTGAGCGCAGGTTCTGTCATGTACAAGTGCTGCCTACAAGGCAGTGATTATTGGATGCCAGTCTCTTACCTTAATGCTTATATGATAGCTCTCAACACCATGGGATAGAAGGAGCCAAGAACCTTCTCCCTCACCCTTGCTCTTGCCTGGTTCCATTCTAGAGGCATGATCCCCGAGTCCTGTTTGTTTGCTTTGCAGGCTGCACCTCTGAACTGGGCCTCCAGCCTGGCGTTCCTGGATCTTCTCACACCCACCATGAATACGTCCCATTTCCCAGCCTCCCTGTTCCTGGATCTCCTCATACCCACCATGAACACCTCCCATCTCCCGGCTTCCCTCTTCCCAGAGTTCCTACAGGGTAAGAATGGGACCAATCCTTTGGGTTTCCTCTACAACTTCTCTGATGGCTGCCAGGATTCGGTGGACCTGTTGGTCTTCATCATCACCACCTATAGCATTGAGACCATCTTGGGGGTCCTGGGAAACCTCTGCTTGATATATGTGACCACAAGGCAGAAGGAAAAGTCCAACGTGACCAACGTGCTCATTGCCAACCTGGCCTTCTCTGACTTCCTCATGTGCCTGATATGCCAGCCACTCACAGCCACCTACACCATCATGGACTACTGGATCTTCGGTGAGGTCCTTTGCAAGATGTTAACTTTCATCCAGTGTATGTCGGTGACAGTCTCCATCCTTTCGTTGGTCCTCGTGGCCTTGGAGAGGCACCAGCTCATCATCCATCCAACGGGCTGGAAGCCCAGCGTTTTCCAGGCTTACCTGGGGATTATGATCATCTGGTTCATTTCTTGCTTCCTGTCCTTGCCCTTCCTGGCCAACAGCATCCTGAGTGACCTCTTCCACCGCAACCACTCTAAGGCGGTGGAGTTTTTGGAGGACAAGGTGGTCTGCATTGTGTTCTGGCCCTCAGACCATCACCGCCTCATCTACACCACCTTCCTGCTGCTCTTCCAGTACTCTGGCCCTCTGGTCTTCATTCTGGTCTGCTACGTACGCATCTACCAGCGTCTGCGGAGGCAGAGGCAGGTGTTCCGCAGGGACACTTGCGGCTCACGAGTGGGGCAGATGAAGCGGATCAATGGCATGCTCATGGCGATGGTGGCTGCCTTTGCAGTGCTCTGGCTGCCCTTGCATGTGTTTAACACCCTGGAGGACTGGTACCAAGAGGCCATACCTGCTTGCCATGGCAACCTCATCTTCTTGATATGCCACATGCTTGCCATGGCTTCCACCTGTGTTAACCCTTTTATCTACGGCTTTCTCAATACCAACTTCAAGAAGGATGTCAAGGCCCTGGTGCTGACCTGCCACTGCAGGTCACCCAGAGGGGAGTCTGAGCATCTGCCCCTGTCCACTGTGCACACGGACCTCTCCAAAGGATCTCTGAGGCTGGGAAGCAAGTCTAACTTCATATAGTCCTGCCTAGGCTTTTCCCTGCTGTTTTCTTTTGACAGACTCTTTCACTTAGCCAAGTAGACACATTGCAAGCTGGGCTAGTATCCTGCTATTTTTGGCATTGGGAATCCAGATAGGCTAGCAAAAGACTTGAATTTTGGCATCCAGACTGTTTAGCCACTTGCTTCTGGGAGAATTTTGAGTCCAGATTCTGCAGATCATACAGTGAACTTTGTACTTGAGCTTCAGGGTATTACAGTCAGAGATGGTGGACTCTTAATGCCACTCAGCACAGATGCCTGGCCTATAAACCTTCATCCACATCCTGAGTGTTCATCTAACTTGCACGGGCTATGTTTTATGCTCTTTGAAGGGATGCTGGGGGTCCCAGTAGCCTTTGACAGAGGCAGATTCATAGAAACAGTTTCAGGGGTTTGGGAGTCTGTTTAATGAAATACTTGCTGAAAGGAACAGGGCTACAATGAATGTGACTCTGTCATCTATGGGGGTCAAAGTTCAGTGTCTCTCCTGGCTGCTGAACTGGGTTCGTGGCATCCTCAATGTGTGAACTAGACAGCTTGTCCTTAGAAAGAAGGAAATGCCAAGATTGCTCTTGGCCCACATCAGACTGGATATTGAGGCTTATTTCTGTCTGTGTATTCCAATAAAGTGAATATACTAGTCCCAAGAGAGACTGTCCACACACTGAGCAGAGTCTGGTAGGCTTTCTGGACTTGGTCCCTTACCAAGCATATGTGCAACTGACATCCAGGACAGGTGCTTTTGGCCACCACTTCCTGCTAGCTTGTCTCAGCTTTTGATCACACCTCCAGTTTATCTCCTTTGTTCTTGGATTATGAGATTTGTTTTCTTTTATATTTTTGAAATGGGATCTTACTATGTATTCTAGGCTGGCCTAAAGCTCCTACCAAGCCTCGTGTACTGATTAAAGCTGAACCCATCACACACATAGTGAGAGATGAGTGAGGCTCTCTTCTCTGTGGCTGTTGCTTATTATCTCAAGTTACTGACTTTGAGCAAAGCTCAGATTTCAGGCCCACCCTGGCAAGGTGTGTCCAAACTGCACACATGCACACCAGACACTTGCACAGACACACATGCATACACACACACACACACACACACACACACACACACACACCAAGCAAGCAAAAATCTGAGGCCTCAGACTTCTTTGGATACTGTTCTGGTTCCTGGAATTTTTGCTTATATTAATAATAATTCATTAATTAGGCTCAATGGGGCCAAGGTGCCAATGGCTCAGATTAGGTATTAAGTGAAGGTATTAGGAATTGGGATGCTATGTAGAAGCTCCTCTGAGTGTCTTCCTGTTTTCCTCCCACCTTGGTTAGGATGACATTAGCCTATCCAGATGACTGTCTCCTGATCCTGGTGTCTAATGGCCCTTGAGATATCTTGATTAACAGCATCCTTGATGTTTACCAACTTAAGCATATTCTGAAGACCAGCAGCCCTGGTACCTGGTCTGAGGTTAGGTGTTGGGGGCTGTTAGACATGCCGTCTTCATTGCAGATGTGTTGAATATGAATCTACATTTGGCCAGAACATGTAGGTTAATTGTAGGCACACTGAAGTCAGGAAGCTTTACTCTTAGAAACAAGTCATTCTGGGGCATGAGGTTGTTGGGTGAAAACCTGCAAATGTACACTCTAGGCTCTGAAGCAGATCCATGTTCTGAACATCTCTTTAAATGTTGAATTGCCGATAAGATAAGCTCTGTTTTGGCTATCGTTTCTCTGGCTGCATGTGGACATATTTCTTGTGAAACTTTTTCAGTATTTCAATAAATACTTGCCAAATACATAGAGTACGTTCTGTTCATAGGGAGCCTGCCCTTGTTATCCTGTTCTGCTTCATGTAAAAGTATACTATTAATAGCTTTCCATTGGTTTTGATAGCTGCTTACCAGTTCAGAAACTGCAGGCACCTCTCAGTATTTCTAGGTAACTCCTCGCAGCGGGTGGTTGGGGCTCCTATGGCAAATGCAGAGGAGCATTAGGGTTAGAACTGAAGACTGTTCCCACAAAGCAAGCCTCGGAGCTCTGAGACTGTGCGAAGCCTTATCAAATCCTGGCAGTAAGCGCTCTGACTCTAGCCTTTTCCTCTTAAATAAACGACCTTTACTTGCTTGATAAAAGTAATCCTATTCAAAGGTAAACATATTCCAAAATAAAGTGAAAGAAAAAAATTGTTTACAGTTCCATTGTTTGAATGATGGAACCATATAATCACTGGTCATATTTTTGGGACTCATTTTTAGTTAGTTTATGCATATGTCTGTTTAAAAAATATCATTGAGATTAAATTGTATATGTATTGATATTTATTTATTTAAAAATTATTTTATCTTGAATTGTGTGTAAACATGGGCATCATGTGTTGGATTGCAAACATGAGTGCATGTGCCCAAGAAGGCCAGAGGTGTGAACTCTGGGTCTGGGATTATAGACAATTGGTTATCCAGCACCTGGTGATGTGGGTGCTAGGAACTGAACTCAAGCCCTCTGTAAAAGCAGTATCTGCTCTTAACCCCAGGCATTTTCTCAACTCTAGGCTGCAGCTGAAGATTTACCATTTACCATTACCAAAGTCTTCGTCCAGAGTTACCTGTTCTAGAGGATATCTCTCTTCTTTCTCCTGTGATCCACCCAGCTCTGGGAACACTGACTTTTCTAAGTTCAGCTGCTATCTCTCTGTGAGGCTGCAGGGGCTCCACATGGCCATGGAAGACTGTGGTTGTGGTGTGGATAAGAAACGCCCAATGTAGGCTCATGTATTTGAATACTTAGCCCCCAGGAAGTGGAACTGTGTGGGGAGATGGAACCTTGCTGGAGGAAGTACATCACTGGGGGTGGGCTTTGAGGATTTATAGCCCTGTCCCACTCCCTGCTTCCTCTCTCTTTTGACTTCCAGCGTGTAAATGAAATGTGAGCTTTCAATTGCCTGTTCCTGCTTCCACTTTTCCCCTACATGATGGACTCTGTCCCTCTGGAACCAAGCCCTTTGCTTTCCTATCTTGTTTTTCACCAGGGTATTTTATCACATCACCAGCAAGGTAATACTGCAACGGAACACTTCATCATCGAAACGGGGTACTTGAGCCCTGGTCATGATCATTCTGGTACTGCAGGAAAAACTACCCCAGACACAGGAATGTGAGGGGTCCAACCCTTTAACACAGCTTGACCCCAACGGTCTCTCTCTCTCCAGCCCACCTTTCCTGTCCTTTGCTTTCTATTACATCATATAGTCTCATTGCAAAGGACACACAGTTCCCCAGCATGCCCGGGCTTCACACTCTGTTTATTTACTCCCATTGTTTTTCCCTCCTGCCTCCCCGAAACCCTCCATCCCCTCAATGACTGATGTTTAACTTACCATTTAAGTAAATCTAAATCCTACTTTTCCTTCAAAACACGGGCCCACTGTCACTATTCATTATTGCATTCATCCAACAATTACTGATGGTTCGTTAGCAGCAGGAACATGGCGAACAAGACTGAAAAAAGCATCTAAACTGAGCTTCTTAATACTGCCTTTACTGGCCAGTTTTGTGTGTCAACTTGATACACAGAGTTATCAGAGGAAGGAGCCTTAGCTAAGGTTCTTTCCCTTAAGCCGTGATGAGATCCAGTTGTAAGGCATTTTCTCAACTAGTGATCTATGGAGGAGGGCCCAGTCCACGGTACCATCTCTGGGCTGATGGTCCTGCTGAGCAAGTCCTGGGGAGCAAATCAGGAAGCAGCTCCCCTTCATGGCCTCTGCATCAGCTCCTGCCTCCAGGATCCTGCCCTGTTTGAGTTCCTGTCTTGACTTCCTTCAGTAATGAACAGCAATGCTGAAGTGTAGGCCAAATAAACCCTTTCCTCCCCAACTTGCTTTTTGGTCATGGTGTTTTCGTCACAGCAATAGAAACCCTAGCTAATCCACGGCCTTTACAAACCTCTTAACTTACCTGTGCAGCTGTAATAGCTGGTCCTCGGAGACCACTGTGATGTGTCTCCTAGCATTCTCCTGTGCTGTGGATTTCGGGTTTGAATAGACACACCCATTATATCACAAAACTCTTTGGGAGCAAAATTCAACAAACCCATCTTGCATCCCCATGACTCGCACTTGCCTTTGGGTAGAGCATATACTCAACAGATGTTGGCTCTTGTGGGGTGTTTGTACATGGTGTGAGGATGTATTGCTGTGATCATTGTAATAAAGAGCTCAATGTCCAATAGTTTGGCAGGGAGGACAGGTGGGATTTCCAGGGAGAGAGAGGAAGAGGAGGAGGAATCTAGAGGCTCAAATTATGCCAGCAAGATACCAATAAGATGAGGTGGAAGATGGACATACAGAACCAAAGAAAGGGAAAAAAGCCACATGGTAAAATGTAGATTTAATAGAAGCAGATTAAGTTATAAGAGCTAGTGGGACAAGCCTAAGCTAAGGTTAACCTTTCATACTTAGTAATAAGTGTCTATGTCATTATTTGTGAGCTGGTGCCCCCCTTCCAAATCCAACTACAGTTGGCCAAGGGCAGAATTAAAGAAGTTTATTTACTTATCTTAAAGAGGACTTTTTTTTTCTAATTGCTTTTATTGAGCTATACATTTTTCTCCACTCCCCTCTCTGTCTCCCCCTCCCCTTCTAACCTCCCCCATGACCCGCATGCTCCCAATTTACTCAGGAGATCTTGTCTTTTTCACCTTCCTACGTAGATTCATGTATGTCTCTCTTAGGGTTCAAAGAGTACTTTCTTTTTTAATACAAGTTCAAGATTTCCCATGTATCTGTGCAGGATCAATCAAAGAAGAACCTAATCTCCACTGTCCCTAAAGAACCCCTTACCCATCCTCAAGTTTTGTGACTTCAAGGAGGACTGTGAATGGATAATCATGCCTCATTTTCTTCTTGTTTAAATATCACCACTTACATGGAATTTGTTCCCTTTGATCCTGAAAAGAGTTTATCAAAGCCATCTATTGGAGGTCGTCCCCGAGCTCTCTTAATGTATATCTCTTCATTCATAAATACACGAATAGGGATCGACTTCCAAAGAAATCAGACTGGAAATAGGCCACACATTCAGAACAAAGAATACCAGCCTGCTGGTGCAGACTTTTGAGATAACCCTTGGGAGGTCACGTCCTTTGCGAAGCCAGCAACCTGTGCCACCTTGTAAATGCCATTTGCAGCCTGTTATGGGTAGGAGATGAGTGCATGTTTCCCCCAGAGGGAAGGCCTCTTTTAAGAACCTTCTTCTCGGGGCATCAGAGAGATTCCTCAGTTGTTAAAGTGCTTGCCATTCAGTCCTGAGAACCTGAGTTTGAACCCCAGAACTCATGTGAAAATCCGGGTATGCTCATGTGTGCTCATAATCCAAGCACTGGGGAGGTAGAGTCTGTCAGACCCTTGTTGCTGACCAGACAGTCTAACCCAATAAATAAGACCTAGGTCCTAATGAGAGACCTTGTCTCAAAAAATGAGGAGAATGACTCTTGGGGAACAATACCCAAGGGTGGCTTTTGTCCTCCGTGTACATCTGCGTGCAAGCATATGCACCCCATCCCCGCCCTTTTGCTTTGTGGACACACACACCTCTTCATCCCACACGTGTACAGCATTGGTTGTGAGCACTGCCTGTTCCCCAGGTTGTCACTGTCAGAGAAGGTTGTCATGTAGCACTGAAGCATCATCTCAAGGAGGAAACACCGAGGTATCTCATTGCTATCTTTAATTCTCCCTAAGCTATGTTCTGTTCTATCTTCTGTTCAGGGTGGAGCCTTAAAAAAGATAAAAGATGGTGGTGGGCATGGATGGTTGTGCGGCATCTGATGGTGTGGGTGATGCTCCAGCCATTTCTCTAGCCTGGAAAGAGAGATGTAGAAATCAGGATACAGATAACCGGGATGTGGCAGTAGATACAAATTCTTCAGTCCTTTGTTTCACACATTGAGCTCCTGTGACAGACTGCTCTCTTCTGTCACCTTGATTTTTGGTTTTCCAGAAACTGAATTCATGCCTATCTCCTAGACAAGCAAATATCAAATCATATTATCTTCATAATTGAAACAGACATCTAAAGACAGCCCAATGGGCTTCCAACTAAACTCAGGGTTAATGAATCGAGGTTCAGTCAAAAGATAAGGTGGAGAATGATAAGTGGATATTTGGTGTTCTACTCTGGCCTCTGCAAGTGAATATACAGGTAGGTAGGTACATGCACAGGCATATTTATGTTACACACACACACATACACACACAGACACACACAGATACAGACATACACACACACATCACATACACACACACGCAAACTGAGAAGCTGGAATGGGAGTCTGACCCTGCTACTGTCTCAAGGCACACCCTGAGGCTGGTTTAGAGGTGTAACTACGCAAACTGGATTCCTTCACATCTTTGGGAAGAGACACATTGATGGTTGACTGAGACTGCTGCTACGGAGAGAGAAGAGGGCCACTCTTCATGGTCGTGTGTGGAAGAGCATGGGCATTAGCCAGGCTGGCAGGCCAGAAAATAACAAAGGTGTTGTGGGAGGATACTTGGCAGGTGTGGGAACCTGAGAGGAGTCAACAATGCATTTGGAGAGGGTAAGTGACTGAAGATGAGCCTGCCTGGAGGCGGAGATGTGGGTGGAAGTCTGTATCTCGGGCTGAACAGTTTGGTGAGAGGCTCTAAGGTCCTTAGTTGCCTTAGCCTCGGAATAGCACCTCCTGGGGAAGCTGGCTTCTTGGCAGTGACCCAGAGAAGTCATCTCCAGTTGAATCTGAAAGATGATCAG